TCGGGTTGCGGCCAGAGTCACGGAACGAATTAAGTTCGTAAACCGAGGTTCCACTGTACTTCTTCCCAGAACAGAACAATTTTAGGTCATTGCAGAAACGTACGTGTTAATGAAGTGTTATTCTTGCTGTGTCACCAAGAAAGCTTTTTTTATTGATTCTCATATTATATAAATGCAGTTGAGTTCAATTAGTCAGAAATAGTTTAAAGTCTGTTGAAATTCTTGATACAGATCTTGTTAGTTTTCTAATGTGAATGTGAATCTCCAATTCCTAATTCCAAGCAGTCTTTAAAATCTGCATATCAAATTTATTGATCAATAATATTTATGAAAAATAATTCAGGGGTTGTCTCATAAGATTTAGTGATTATTTTAAATAATATATGTATCTCTGAAGCTAAAAATAATACTGGTCCAAATGTCAATTAATATTGTAGTTATAATTACTACCAGTGGGTGACAACACAAAAATCACATTTAGCCTAACATAGGAAATGATCAAAACTTTTTGTAACACTCAATAATTGTTTTTAAATTAAAATCACAGCATCTATATAGTTTCCCATATAACAGGGAATAGTATTTCTATCTGTACTAAGGTCTACATGACTCCATGGTGTCATTTTGGCATGAGAAAAAGAATCAAATATAAATTTCCAAAAACTGATATATCATAATTTTCAAATAGATTTAATAGTGTCAGGAGAGTCACTGGTTCTATTACATTTTGAACCCCAAATGCTGCAATTAATGCTATGTATCAAATTTTCAAAAGGGCAAAAAAGGACAATTTATAGCAAGTGAAGCCATCCAATACCGTACAATTTGGTATTGATCAAAAGGTAGATATCATGAAGAATGATACATTTCTAGATTAGGATACCAAAGTTCCCATCTTTAACTAACAACTACACCTTTTTCAATTTCTGAATTGAAGAACCCATAGAACTGAGAGTATATCTGAGTATATTGAGTATATATCTTTTTATATCTTTTAATCATGTATTTATGATTTTAATTTGATGTAAGCCGCCCAGAGTCCCCCATTGTGGGGAGATCGGTGGGGACAAGTCCACTAAATAAATAAATAAATAAATAAATAAATTTGAAAAACTGTCCCAGATGGGAATTCCCTACACAGTCTAAATCCTTAAATATCAATCATAACAATAGCTATATCACAGGCTTTAAAATGTCTCTTTATATCAGTTATGTGATGCATCTGTAAAGTAAGATGTATGCCTTGGTGACTTCTTCTCTGAGTAACTAATGTACATACTATATGGTGCTACTCTTGAAAACCATTCAGAAGTTTGAGTTTGCCCAGAACGAAGTGGCACAAGTACTTGTGGATATGCCACAAGAATGTCCTGATAAGACCTTTGCTACATGGACTATAGAGGTGATCAGTAGGCTTCTGACTCAATCATGGTGCTGGTTGTCAATACAAAATCCTTCATGGCACACCCCTAGAATAACAAGGAAACAACTTTCTCCTGCGGTGCCTGCTTGTCCTGCCATATCTGACAGAATAATTTTGTTTTCAATCCCATCTATCAAACTATGCCATCTAATGGGGCCCAGTAGCCGTGTCTTCTCCGACCTGCCTGTTTCCTCAGATACTGGGGCAAGGTATGGTGTGGGCTTGCTGTGTGTTGCTTTTCTTTGTTTGATCATCTTTTCTTTTTCATGATTCTGTTATTTTGACCTTTTATGTTTTTTATCAGTATAGAACCTATATATTGATTATTATGAGTGGGGGGGCCTGCAAATCTGACTGGGGACAGGCAAATCAATCAATCATCAATCAATCAATCAAATTGACCATGAGGGGAAAA